TATCTTGCTCTAGATAGACACTAAACACACACACACACACACACACACACACACACACACACACACTCACACCCACACCCACACACCAAGTATAGACCCAGGGCAGGACAACCATCCCTTTAAGAGTTCCTTTGGATGACGTCCATATAAGGAGATATTGGAGCAAGTCACATGGGGGGAAGAATGCACTGCTCAGGTCATGTGACCAGTCTGAGGAAATGAATGAATCTCCCTTTTTAAGGCTGTGTGTATGTGTGTGTATGTGTGTGTGTTAGTTATTTCTTTAGGTTTGCCACTTTGATTTTTCTGTATCCTTCACCAGCTCCCCCTGAGATTTACATTTAGAAAGGAAGATAACTCCAACTCCAATTTATTTTTCTTATTTAAACTCTGTAACTCCTCCCTAACAGAAATTTCTCAGTGTTTCCTCTGGACACTCATGCCTTTCTTCAAGCAATTTCAAAACTCGGTGCCGTGCATGACTCATGTATGCATTACAACACACACACACATATGCGCAGTCACTCCGTTGCTCACCACATAGTCAGAGAAATTCACAGGCTTGGCTCTCGGCTCTGACTAAGACCGTATATGGAAGAAGCTAGCAGGTAGCTTCTGTCCAGTTTTCACTCATCCCTCTCCCTCTCTCTTACGCTCTCTCTCTCTCTCTCTCTCTGTTAGTCTCTCCCTTAAACACACATTCACTCTCCTCCTATATTTGCTACATTTCCGTTCTCCCCAGATCAATCACTCCCTTATTTCTTTTCCCAGGAGAGGGACAATTATAGGAGTGCAATATAAGGTCGGTGCACATTTCTGCCCATTTCACTCTGTAGCAATCTTTCCCAGTCATTTATGTCATCACATTCCAGCTGAGTTTCATACACAGCATTGCAAGGAGGTGTGGCTTTTGTGTGCCAGAACAGAGTGAGCAAGACAGAGGAAGAAGGTATGTGAAATACTCTTTGAAATGTAACATTAGAACATACAGACCTTCCCCCACCCACCCAAAAAAGCCTGACAAAGACAAAGAAAAGACCAAATCTTAGGTCTCTGCAGTGGCCTCCAGTGTGTCCTAGAATACAGTTAAAATCACGATTCGTCTCTCAGTGGTTAAGATCCAAATACACCTGATCCAAGGTTCCCAACTAAACATTTAGTTATATGTACCACAGAGCTTCAATCAGATTAGGGGGGACCAGGAGCAGAAAACTAGGGTCCTTAATAAAGTGTCAAAACTAGATTTTCAGACAGGAGCACAGGATTCAGTACAGTAATAATGCAGCAGAGAGACACACCTTAATTGAAAGTTTACTTGTATGATGCAAATTCTTAATCAAATAACGTATAAACAACGACCTTGGGCTTTTGGGTCACTGGGTACCCAGGGAAAGTTACTGACTTTGTCCAGCTGGTAATCCAGTTTCGCCTGAAACAAACTTCCAGAAGACAGTTTGGAAGGATAAGGAGTAATTAATCCCACGGACAATAAGTTTGCTCCTAAGTTTTCTTTTTCTTCTATGTATTGTATTTAGAGTATTCAGACTGTCAGTGCTGTTTTGTGCTGTGTGTTTTAATGAAATGCTGGACAATAAAACTTTTACTGCAATAAAATTCACCCCAAATTTGACTACCTTTAAATACAGGTTAAAAAGGTTCATGTTGCATGCTGTATTGCTCATTTGACTGAGTCTTAAAGAAACAGGAATGTAGTTGCTTTTTACTCAGTTGCTGAAAGATAGATAAGATTGATATGAAGATACAGACAGCAGCCTTGAACAACAGTTTGCCTGACTGTGTCCAATGGTAACAAAATTCACCTACCAGCACCTCTGAAGCTCACTACAATAATATATCTTGTTTGTCTGCTGAAATATTTCGTGACCAGAGTCCCTGCTGGTTGCTCGGCAACCTCACATTCAACATCAGACTCCAGAAAGTCACGGCCAAGAAAAGGTCTGGCACATAACCCCTTGTAAAACCACAATGTGTTGTTTTTACACTTATATTTTTGTATGAGTTAAATGCAATGTAATGTTTTGTAATGGGTTGGTTTTTGTCACCTTTGGACAGAGCCTGGCTAGTTGTTTCCCACTGTTTCCAGTCTTTGCGCTTTGCTAAGTTAAAGCAGCAACAAGGAACATTTTTTGTTGATTCTGGCAGGCTCTGTGGACAAAAGCGGTAGTGTTTCCACTCGCCTCGTTTAATTGATTTCAGCAGTGGGTTTGACTCCGACCTGTGGCCTTTTGATGCGTCAAAAAAACCCAAAAGAAGAACTATATAGAAATAGCCCAATCTTCTTGCTGATGGTCTTGTAAGGGAATCAGCATTAAAATGAGACTGTTTCACAACCTGTTAAAAACTCCCTGTAGTAGGTTTGTAGTTCATATTCACTGTACAGACTTGAGAGTGGTTATTATCTAACTCTGGAACAAAGCGAATAAGGAAAATAACCATTTCTTTTTTTTCACATGTAACTATATTGTTACCTTCAAGCTACAAGCTGAAATAGCCTGTAGTTCTTCCTCGACACCAGCTACATTACTGCACATGTGAAATGACAGGTTTTGCTCCGATTTGTTATGTTTATTTCTCAGGCAATATAGCACTGAGAAGTGTATTGCTTCGTTTGACTACATGTACACTGTTTGGACATCCAGATAAAAAGCACTTAGAAAAAGCAATTAAGATAAATGTTTTATCTTAATATCTCTTGTGCCTTTATTTGTGGTTTATGCTGTACTTTCTCTAACATGTTTTAATGCATTATGTAGAGCACTGCCCTTGTGCATGTAATGTGCTACACAAATAAACTTTCCTCACTAAGCCATGACCTCAGAGAGGAAAAGCTCAGTATGTTTAAATGCACAAAAAAACAAAGCATTACATTCATTCTTGCCCTGAGTAAGATTTGGGTTTATTAAAGCATCATATAAGACTCTGTGCCATAGACATTTAGACAGCCTCTTTTTTTTATCTTTACAGTATATCCTACATCAGAGGATTAGGGTTAGAGGAAGCATATATGAAACACATTCAAGATTCAAACTGGACAATATAGCAACACTTTAACAAAAAATATACACTTATATACACATTTTACACTTATTGTTTTACTGTTTTTTATCAACAAAACAAGGCCAGAATGCAAAAATTAGCTGCAAATACCAGTGTCAGAACAGATCAGATTCTTCTTTATGTCTTGTCAAGCAGTCCAGCTCTTCCCCAGGTCTACCAGCTCCATGCCTTCACAGTAGGACCGTGGTCTTGACACCCTCACCTGGTTTCACAGGGAGGCAACACATAATCATCACATAATGAAACCAGATATACTGTACATCTCTACTGCACACACACACACACACACACAGTCAAACACTCACTGTGGGCGTCCTGTGGGAAGCCAGTTGCTGCAGAAGTGGGAAAGGAGTCCACTGAATGGGTTCCACAGGCCAGCTACAGACAGAAAGGTCACTGGCCTTACCCGAGTCCAACACACCATCCCCCATGCTCATCTCGCTTCCCCTCAGACCATACTGAGAACTACAGGGAATACAAAGAACCAAGGGATTATTTAGACACTCAAGGTCTATATACTGTATGTGTAAGTAAGTGTAAACACTTACATAAATACATTTACAGGTTTTAAAAACATAGGGGAACTATAAGGAAGAAATGATATTGGGTTTTAATGATTTTTTCACTTCATTTGAAGTTTAATTAAGTTAAACTTAACATTTCATTGGAAGCAAGAATATACTTTCATTCTACTTATATAAACCACAAAAACAGTTGCATTAGAAGAGAGCTGTAATCACTTTCTGTTGAAAAGTGGTGGGGACATAAGGGGTGCTGGGGTTAGATCGAGAAACAATTTTTCAAAGTTTTTTTTAACATGTGATTTTGAGCAATGTAATTTGAGGAGGTATGAGGTCAGAGTAGGTAATTACAGTGGATAGGGGAAAAAATTATCTTGTTCTGTTTACTACGAGCAAGCTAACCCTAATTCCACTTGAGTGATGGCTGCACTGGGCATTTGTACGGCAGCAACAGGCTGTATGCATTTAGCTTTCTTGTTTTTATTTTGATCTTAATTTAGTCTTACTTTACTTAATAAATTCAATCTTTTGTTGCTTTTTATTGTGTACACTTGACAGCAGAGTACAGGCACACGTGTGTTACATATACTGTATGCATGTTGTAGTATGTATTTCATGTTGACCTGTGAATTTCATGGGACGTATTTGTGTGTGTACCTGTGGGGGTAGATTGTATTGATGCGCGTCCCATGGCTGGGGCAGGTGGATGCCAGCGACAGTGTGTCGTCGTGGTAACAGCAGGGGCGGTCGAGCGCCCGCAGGTGCAGCAACTCATCGGAGCGTGTGAAGGCAGGATTATCCAGTGAGTCCGCTGATCCTGCCCACGAACGCAACCAGAAGCGTCCTGACAGCTCATCAAAATGGTTGAACCTGCGATAGCTGCACAAACAAACAAAACATAATGTGAGGTTAAATATTTACAGGATACAATATTTATTTCTAAATATCTTCAATTTGATATTGGTTTGAGTTCAAATAAATATTTTAAATATATATACAATTTGAAGAAAAAAAACGGTGGGAGAGAGATGTAATCCTTGATGCGTTGATATTTCCCATTCATGTAAAATGACTTCAGGAAGCTATACACTCCTGTTGGCTGAGCCTGCTGGAGAAAGTAAAGCTCACTCCCAACTGTTAAGGAGACACTCTGGATTTAAGGCTTAACTTTAGACTTATCACTTCCTGGCTGAACTTTCTCTGTCTGTGTCAAACTTTATCTCAGCAATAGGATGAAACTACAGGGTCTCAGTTAAAGTGGATAAACTCTTCCGTCTCGCAGTCGCACTCTGGGATTAAGGTTCAGTCGACAAATGTTTTAAAACACAAAAATCTCGGCTAGTGCAGCTTTAAGAGGTTGAATGCCAATGTCTGCACTTCAGGGCTGTCCACAAGAGGCCTCAAGCAGAGTCTGCTTGGCGTGTCGATTTCTCCAGACATCGCTTGGAAGATTACCCATACTGTAGTTTATAGCAATATGCACGTGGGAAGAAATGAATAATACTAAACCTGTAAGATACACATAATTTATAAGCCATAATATTTATATTCGGTGTGTAATTTTACCGACGTGAGTGAGGTTTATCTTGCATACATTTCCAAAAAATACTTTCAGGTGCGTGAAACTGAAATTTTGATTGATCACCATAGAAGGGAATGAAGTCTGAAATAATTTGTGATGACAGGTTTTATCCCCTGACAGTGAACATATCACAGTACATATGACTGAAGTCTGGACGGTGGACATTTGGATTCAGTGTCTGAACATTTGCCAAGAGTCTACAGCACAGCCTTCATCTTCAGTATGTAGTTCTGCAGCCAGAGTGTGACACCCAGTGGACATCGCTGTACTTACAATTACTGTACGTGCAGTCACGCCCATCTCAGTGTCTGGTTCTCTCTTCCCGGATCACCACACATGATCGCCCCCAAGATGTCCATTGTGTTATTGCCATGTATGTCACATTATTATGGAAATATTTTACCATCTGGGTGGGTTATCATGTGTGTTTCCTGTGTTATTTTAAGGTCCACCTAAAAGCCCATGGGACGGTTCACCACACACTGCTGCACAAACACAGGCTACCATTTCAATCATTTTCAGCACATTTCTTTTAACTAGAGCATCCTCTAAAAATATTTAAAAAATATATTTAATGGAATTTCTTTCCAAAACAAAGGCTTAAATTTAATTTACAAATGTATATTTTCCATACTTCATTAAATTGCATTATATGTGGTATTAAAAGGGTCTTAAAAAGTCTTAAACCAGGTGCAGAAACCTCGTATGTAATATTAGTGTGCATTGTGTGTGTATTAATCTTTTTATTGTAGGTTGTATGTTGTGAGCTGTAATTTTATGTGTGTACATCAGTGAGTCAGTGTGGTTAAAGCCCCTTGAGGCAAATGTCTGATTTGTAATATTAGGCAATACAAATACAATTGACTTGACTTACCTGCTCCGAGTCTGATCTACTTTGGCCTGGATGAGAATGGCTCGATAGCGTCGTACTGCCACACAGGCCAAAACGCCAATCACTGTCACCATGATGAGTAATATGGCAAGACATGCACCCACGAGGCGCGCTCGAGTCATCCTCACGTCACATCTCTGACCCATGTACCAGAAGTCCTCTCCTACAAGGCAGCTAATTCACAAACAAAACGCTTACATACACAAAACCTTCTTAGACAGAGAGATACAAAATGAGTTTACGAGCATGCATGTTCTTACTGGCAAACTGGAAGTTGGCCTGGGTGGTGTGTACAGATGCCATGGTGGTGGCAGTAGTCAAAGTGGCAGACAGAAGAACAGCTATAGTTTGAAGTGCCAGGCTGCGACATACACTTGTAGCCTGCTTGGCACTGCAGCAGCCAGTCGCACACATCACCCTGCAGACCTGGAGGGAAGACATGTTAAAGAAAATAAAAATAAAATCTTAAAATTGAGTGAAAAGAAAAAGTATTTTTTTTAAAGAAAAAGCCAAGTCGAAAAACAACTGGGTTTTTAGCAAGTAGAGCATTTGTTGGGGACTATTTTCAGCTGTGGATTAACACACATTTGATGCGCTGTGTATTGATGGAAGCAGGACAGGAATTGACTTAAAATAAACTAGAGTGGCCATTTTCATCATAATGACAGAACATATCACCCAGTGCAACAGTGTGACTCATTTATGGACAACAATGGAGTCCCATCACGGAATAAAATACATCAGGCACAAAGACAATGCTTGTTAGTAGGACACATTTTTGTTGGTTTTAGTTTGTTGAGTGTAAAATAGATTACCAGCTTTATCTGTTAAATGTGTCTGATAGTATGTCAATATAAAACAATAGTTGAAATGTCCTGCAGATGATAGGGGCATGTGTGCCAGAAAATTAGCAAATGAAATAATATAGAACTTTGGAAGTCCTTTTAGTGTGACTTAGTGACTGTGTTTACATGCATAGTTGGTAAACCTTTGTTATATACTGTATTATCTGATACTCTGCAAACAAGTATCCCCATTGCCCCAAAGAATCTGCAAACAAAATACGCCTGTCAACCTAATTTGTACAGTACACCTGCAAACACCACAAAAATGAAAGTATAAAGGAGTAAGATGATTACATGCCGTGGTAACAAGCTCAATATCTGAATAAGCCAGTCACGTTAATCAGATTTCTCATAACTGGATTGTGAACTTAACTGAGTCAATCTAACTGAGTTATGATGTTTACATGAGTCTGCCTGTAACTGGTTTAATCAAGTAAGCAGGTTAAGAATGGAATTCCCCCTCAGGAAATATAGCCACTGTGGCTGGCCATTAACCTGGTAGTCTAAGTAGTTTTTTTGAGAGTCCACAGCAGATAGATGACAGGAAATGAGGCCAGTGAGGTGTAGAACGAAACCACTAGGCCTAAAAAGTTAGGACTCTTTAGTCAGCTGTCTATAGGTAGACATCTCAACCCTCACTTACCTCCCAGTGTGATGTTGGTGATCTTGGACGATCTGATGCTCCTCCTCTCGCGAACAGCCTGAGCTAATCCTGTTCGTTCCAACAGTGATGTGGGTCCCGTCATGCTGAGCCACTGCAGAGCCCCGCTGGTTTTAAACTCCACCAGACTCTGCACTGCATGACCACTGGAACAGCAGCAGAAACAGTATATTCACTATCTACTCCTCTCTTAACACAACCTTCTGTAACCTAGCCCCAGTTTGTGTCTCATGTATGACCATTATATTCGAGTCACAGAGCTGGGCATCAAATTTTCTAAAAAAGAAATACCTGGCCACCTTTGAAAGAAAGTTATTTAACAACTCTTATTGCTCTTCCAACAGGATGAAAAGTAAATATTCAAGAAAGAATATTTGTAACCCGTTCCCCAAGTTGCACCTAATTTTCAAATCCAAAAATGGTACCCAGAAATGACACATTTGAGTGGCTCTGAGACTGTACATAAGGAGTGCTCTGAGCTAAATACTAATGTCAATATGCTAACATGCTCACAATGAATTCTAACATATCCATATCATAATCTTATAGTTATGCTAGCAGTTAAATTTTTTACAATGTTCTTAAACCATCTTAGTTTATCAGCATGCTAACATTTGCTCAATAGTGCTCAACACAAAGTATTGGAATGTCCTTAGTTTTGCAGGTATTTGTTCGTAAACCAATTAAGTATTGTACAAATTAAGATTTTGACCTGATGATGCTGGGTAAGAGTTAAGGGATCACCAAGGTTAGTACAGTTCCTTTTTGCCAGTCTGCAAATTAGATGTTGAGATATTACACAGGATAAATGAAAACTTTAAACTGGAGCTACAGGAAAAATGAGCGGATCATTAATGTCATTAGTTATCCATCTACTATGGATGTGTGTACCAAATTCCATGGCAATCCATGTAGTATTAATTTAAGGTTTAGCTCTGTGACTTGAATTTAACAATACTAAATGAAATAAATAAATTAAATAAAACTGGGTCTAACAGCTCAGTTTAACTACAGTACATCTGTATGTACTCTATAAAGACCTCACCTGCTCCAGACTCCCAGCAGGCTGCTGAACCCCGGGGCTCTCTGTAGGTATGGCTCCACCTAAAGGAAACAGGGAGTAAGAACTCTGTAGCAGCTACTAAATAAACTCTAATGCACTGTTTCTAAAAGTATGGTACGTGCACCCCTCGTGGTATTCAAGCTGCCTCTAGTGCTACACAGAGGAATCTCTGGAATATTTTTTGTAAATGAAAAACATTTATTAAAAAAACATATAATACTATTATACTACAAAATTCAATTGTATGTAGTGTGCACATAAATACATTATTTGTTACAAGATAAAATTTGCTGGCAAGGTAAAATTAATGTTACAAAAACACTGCAATCATGGCTCCAAACGGGAACTATTGGGAAGAGATATGCAGAGGGGAACAGCTTTTCTACCAAATTAGCTCTGGTTCTTGAAATGGTTCTGTTCAGGATTCAGCAACAGTCAACAATAAATAATCTTCTGTTTAGGAATAAACCTGCTTCCTGTGTGAACTGTCCATAGCTGAATGGTGGTACTGGTGTTACTTGAAGAGCCTAATATTTTCTGAGGTGGTATGTTGTGTAAATAGCTTGAGAAACACTGCTCTAAAGCTACTGTACAATAACATGTGTATTAGTACTTTTCTGTGTGTGTGTGTGTGTGTGTGTGTGTGTGTGTGTGCATAATCTCTCACCCAGGCAGCTGTGTCTTTCTCCAAGTCAGAAGTAAAAGCTGATCTGGATTCTTCCACAATTATCTGCAGCAGCAGCTTAATTGACTCAACTGGACAGAACAAACAAATAATGCTATTACAACAGGCCCAGAAACCCAAACCTCTTATTTTAATTACACACAAAAAATGTACACTACCTCTGATGGCTGCAGGCTGGTCTGGCACGATGTAGAACTTGGGTCTTTGACTAGTTGTTGAGCTCCGAGTGGGTACAGAGGTTACAACTGAAGGTGTATGGTTCTCCTGGCTGGGATTTGGAGTTGTCCAGAGTGGAGGTTGCTGCGAAGGTCTAGCTGTAGGAGTCTGTGTGGTTGTGCTGCTGGGAAACGACTGCAGAGACTCATCTTCTTTCTTTACCTCTCTATCTATTGTGGGTGAGAGCAGCGAAGTATGTGTGGTAGTAATATAGTCGTGGGACTGTTTATGCGTAGCTGGGACATTAGTGGAAGATGGCAAAGGCAGGTGGTTTGGTGTGTGAGTTGTGTATGAAGATTTGACTGTTGACGTTTGCGAGGGGAGGGTCGGCGCGGTTTTGTGGTCGATGACGGGTGTGTGCGCAGCGGATTCAGTGGTAGTGGAGGGCAAAGGCAGGGATGTGTGGGTGAAATGTGAACTACCAGAAAATGTAGTGTGTGTTTGGAGCGTGTTTGAAGGTGTGGATGAGTGTATGGATGTGCTGGATGACAAATGAGGAACAGGAGTTGGTGAATTTGTGGGTAGGCTGTCATGTATGAGTGTATATGTTTCAGTGTCAGCAGGGGTTCCTGTGGAACTTGAGTTCTGGATCACATCTCCCAATGTCAGTGCTGCTCTGGGAGTAGAGGAAGAACCTGAAGCAGAAGTCCAGGCATCAACTTTAATGTCAGGCGAGGAGGAGATAGTGTCTGTAGTCATGTATGTATCAACAAAATTTCTTTGCGTACTTTGTTTTGCTGTACTTTGTGTTGCTGTACTTTGTGTCTCTTCTTTGCTTGTCTGTGTGAATGAAGAGGATGTGTAAGGAAGTGGGGAGCGTGTGACACTGTCTGTACTTTGTGGAGAGTCTGTTAGACTCTGTGTGGAAGAAGTGTGAACAATCTCTGTGATTTCAAATTCATCAGAGGACTCAAACGCTGCAGTTTGACTGGTAACATCTGATGCAGTGGATACAAATGAGTCATTGTGCCTACTGTTTGCCTCCACAGTACCAGCAGCAGTGTCAAGCCCTTTGCTGTGGGTGGTGGACGAATGAGCCCTGCTGGGGTCCTGTGAGGACGACGATGACGCAGTGGGATCAGTATCAGTGTGTGCACTGCTTGAGTCACCTGGCTGTGGTTCGGTCTGTGATTTTAAAGGGTCAAACGTGACAGCGGAGGTCAGATCAGAGTTAAGTCTGTCTGTGCTTCGCTGGCTCCTCCAGGAATGGGGTAGTTTCTCTCCAGGTGCCCCACTAACAGCTCTTACACGTGGGTTTAGGATGGTGTCACTCTCCCAGGTTGTCCAGGAAGGTAGGTCAGAGGGAGAAGAGGTGAGAGGTGGGATACTAGAGCTGGAAATAGTGGGGTGAGATTGTGTTGTTACAGGCAGTTTAGATGTCTGAGTGACTATATATGTGTGTAGATCAGTGCCAAGCAAGGTGTTGGAGCTACTTCCCGTTGCATGTTTCAGTGCCATTTGTGTTCGAGGGACCTTGTTGGTTAAGATTGTTTCTGTGTTTGCCGTGTGTGACAGTGTGTCTGTGCTGAGTGTATTCTGAAAATAGGGGTGTGTTCTCTCTCTGGCAGCCATGGGACCATCAGCGAGGTGAGCAGCTCCAGATGCATCCGCTCTATTGTTTGGTTCTTCCTCAGGAAGAGGGAGAGTTTCCCTATCGGCTCTCCCAGCCACAGCGAGTCCAAGCAGGGGTGAGGTGGGGTCCGGCAGCCCCTGGTCCTTAGAGGAGGGGCTAGACACAGACCGAGGGCCAGAACTCCACTCCTCGAGACCTTCATAGATGCGACCTCTGCCCCCATCAGTCCCTCTCACCACCTCTTGACCAACAGGAGCTGTGCTTGTAAAGCTGGTTCCTGTCTGAGACCAACGTAAGGAGTCTTGGTCTGAATGTGGGCTGGTGTGGTCCTCCGAGGAATTCCTCTCATCTTCCTGGACTGGATAACCAGGAACAAACACAAAAACAGAACAGAGAGGGAAAGGGTGAGGACAGACAGAGTGGAAATCACAACAACATAACATCTCTCATACCACAGCGAGCGTGATAAGAACTTTCCGACGGACATATTCGAACATTTCCACAGCAGGTTTCCACAGTTACACACCGCACAGCCAAAGTAACCACAACATTCCTCTTCTTCTGTAAACAACAAATACTTTTCATGTACGACAATTAGATCAAACTCTTGTGATCAGGGTGAAAGTGAAAAGAAAGTCGGCTGACTCAATAAACTAAACAGGATAATTAAGTAACAGTTTCTCACCATAATAGGACAGCTGAATGCCATTTGAGTGGTGTCCTGCTCCTGTCCAAGAGAGGGTGGCTTTGTTTCTATCACAGCCCGAGAGCAGAGCTGTCCCCCCGCTCTCCAGGACCTGGTCTTGCTTGTTCCAAACACAGCGCACTGATATGCTCGAACCACTTTCCAACCACACCACCTTTAGAAGTACCGTCCGACCCAGAGGAATACCTATCACCCAAGAACAAACTGAAACGGGCTGGGTTTCGTCAGACTGGAGGTTCATGGGGTTGAGTCTGTTGGTGTCAGTAAAAAGTCCAGGTAAAGTGAGATTGATGTGTCCAGCAGGCTCTTGGTCCAGGCTGACATCTCCACCGCAGTGGTGGTGCGACAAGGCCAATGTTTTATCTGAGAACAGAAAAAAAAGGGAATCACTGTGGCATATATCTCCTGCCCTCTGTGTGCTGTTGTTTTATATGTATTTAGACATTTAAGGACATAAGTTGTGGGTAGTTTTTCATTATTAGATAATCTAATTTGGATGTTTTTAGAGGCACGTAAAGGTAAAAACCCCCCATTTTTTTAAAGGATAGACAAGACGACCGAACACTTTTAATGTCTTGTGAACCGACGATCACACATCTTCCTCGCGCTGCACCGCCCCTTTCCTCATTCTGTTTTGCGTAACAACCTCACACGGCCACGCGTCAGAACGACTTCTAGTTCGGCCTGGACAGGCATTCAGTCGACGTACAACACACCCCCAAAAGATCACAGCCGCTCGGTCACTTACAGCGAACCATGGCACGAACGAGTTCTATTTCTTCATAGTCACCCCGATCACTCAGTCAGTTTCTTAACTTACCTGTGCACAACACAACCACAGGTGCGACTACCGGTGGTCCACCAACGCATGCATAACAATTATAAACATGAAAATAAACAAAATATACTAACATAGGAGATATAAACAAAAATACAGGCTCATATCCCCAATAAACGACAATTATCCAATCCAATAACACGTTGTTTATATTCAAAACAGTACATGCAAAACACAAAACATCAAAACGAAAGAAAATCATATCTGTGGACAGAGATACACAAACCAGACACACATCCACACATCACAAACTTATCCATCCTCCTGGCGGACAGGAACACAGCATGCGATCAGGCAGCGCGCCATCACCTTAATACACACGTCGTGTAACATAACAACAAAAACAATCATAAGAAACACACCCAGAACTGTCCGTGCGGTCGTTTGAATCAATCGTTATTTCCAAAGATGAGAGGAAGGAATCCAGCGGTCGCGGCAGGAGCTGGTTTTTACAGAGTGCGTAAACGCAGCACAGGAAACCTTCAACCGCAGGAGGCATGAAGACATGAGAGGACGGAGACAGTTCATTAGGGCTTTTACATTTAACCCCCACTGTGTCAGACAGGGAGTGTTTGCAGGGGGAAATGTAAGACGCTACAAATTCTAATAGCCTGTTTTTAAAAATATAGTTAGTAACCTAGAATCTACTTTTGGATTAACTCAACACAAATATGCAAATAAATATCAATAAAATTACTTTTGTGTTTTGTAAGACAACAGAACAATGAATTAAAGATTATGTCCTCTGCTCAAGTGTAGTTTTTAATGAAAACTTAAATTTCTTTAAGCAAATTCAGACATTTTCACAGCTTCAAGGCATAACTTTGTTGTCAGTATAAAAGTACTTATAGGCTAGAGCTGTAACATTTCATATTCTGAACAATATTAATATTCATTATGTTAAATATGTTGGCCACAGAGGGGCAGAATTACACCAAAACAAGCTGACAACTGGAAAGAGCTCTTTAAAAAGTATTTCAGGCAGCATAAGTAGGCTATAATAAAAATGTTTGATTTACAATATATAAGTAATACTATGTCATTTATTAGGCTCTTAGATGTGTTTTTTTCTTCATAAAAATTAGAAATACTGAATAATTACCTTCTCAGACAAATATGAGCTACATCTATCTTCTTTTTGCTGTTATTTAGGGGGAAAACACCATTAATAATACAGATTGTTGCATCCACATCAATTAACACGAAACTATACGTGTTAAATTCTACATAAAATAGTATTTTACAGATGTCAGTCAGTCCTGTCACGTTTAGATTACACTGCATTAGGTTATGACTCAGAGGACATGACATTATTCAAATACTTGCCTAGTTAGTATCAAGACTTTAGCTCAGTTGGCCCACAATAGCCTGCAGATGTTACATCTCAGTTGGATAAAATTTGCCTCATATTTTCCAGAGGCTAATCAAATCTATTGATCTGAAACATCCTTTTCTATAACTGGATACCAGCTGATTTGTTGTCAAATGTTTTACGTAGCTGTGAATTAACAATCATTAACTGGTAATCCATTAAGCATTAACAATCATATAAACTCATGTTCATTTATTGTTGGTGGGCAACAAGAATGCATGATCAGTGCTGAATTATTTCATACATTAAGTCATCATGAGTCAGGCATTAGTTATGAATTACTTACCTCTATCATAAAGTGTCACTAATGTTGATGGATGAGTGAAGCTTTAAATAAACACTTTACACATTTTGAATGATTTTGATTTTTTTTTTGGTCTTTATTTGCTCAAGAAATACAACACAAAGATGTATCTCTAATCATACTCATGATAACTTTGAGCATGAATTCATACATACATGAATCATATAAAGAATCAAAAGCTTCTCTATATGAAAAGATCTGTCATTCAAATGTGGACCCACCCGCAACATTCAAAACAAGATCAAACAGGACTACTATCTTTCCCAGTGAGAAGTTGCTTCTACATTGGTTAACACCAAACTACAACTGTTGAGTAAAACAATCAAAGCAGAATATATGTCACTTAGAGTGGTGAGCTATTACTGATTTATATATTCCCAAACCTAAACTGAATAGTGTGACAGCATTTTACAACCTGTATGTTAGAGTACTGTGTGACTGTTATTGCATTTAAAGAAAGTAATCACACCCAGTGACACCCAGAATGCATTCCTCAGTATGGTGATGGTCTGTACTGGTTACACCTGTCTCCAGTTAGGTGACGGTCGCAGGTCAGAGTGTACAGGATCTCAACGCCGCCTCGCTTGGCCGGGCAGGTGTATCTGTGTGTCCCCTGACGCAGGTACTTCACACAGGATCCCAGGCGGTCATCTCTGCCCCAGTCTTCATCCCAGACTTCAATCTTAAGACCCAAGTGTGTGTCCACCTTAATAAAAAAATGTGTAAAAGTTAAAATAATATTACTATTACAATATGTTTTATTGACCAAATATTCATGAAAAGTATTTGTTTTGTTCCATTGCTCCATTTCCTATTTTTCAGTTTTTTTATTGCCTTTTATTGGATAGGAAAGCTGAAAAGTGACAGGAAAGGTGGGAAGAGAGAGGGGATGACACACAGCAAAGGGCCACAGGTCAGATTCGAACCTGTGGTCACTGCAGCAAAGACTCTGCCTTGGCACATGGGGTGGCAGCTATACTGAGGCACCACCATTAAGGTTGGTTTTGACCGCTAATCACATCAAACCACACAATAAACATAATTTACTGACATACAACATGTGTGTTAGATACAGCTTCTGATAAAACCTATAAATCTAAACATATATCTTAAAAACCATACCTCAAAAGTAATATTACTTAAAGTTTAAGTACTTAAAACAGAATAATAACTAATTCAGCTCTGTGGAGAATAGTCTTTATTGCTATTTCTATACTATATTGCACGACAAACAACAACAGTCTACTGCCCAAAGAAACTGTTTGATATTTTAGGCTATTATGTGCTTTCTTGCCAACAGTTAGATGAGAAGATCGATGCTGTATCATTCTTGTGTCTATTCAATAAATATGAAGCTACAACCAGCAGCTGTTATCCATTAGCTTAGCTTAGCACAGAGACTGGGAACACGAGGAAACAACCAGCTTGGCATTGTCCAAAGGTAACAAAATCCACCTACAGTCACCTCTAAAGCTAATTATTCAGCACTAAACTACTCAACTGTACCGCCATACAAAATGAGATCGAGCAGATAGCTTTAGTTAAGGCTTTCTCACAGTTTTATGATAAGGTTAACTTAATTTTGACCAAATATCTAGCTACTGTGTTTTGGCAGTGTAGCTTCATATTGATTGAACAGACATGAGAATGATATCAATCTAACTCTTGGCAAGAAAGAAAATTAATATTTAAAAAATCTAACAATTTATCTGAAAGTTCCTTCAGACCGTAGCTGTGTTGAGGTCGGATATGGGATTCGAGTGACTTTAGGAGGCACTTTTGAACTGATCTGTGAGGAGAAGATTAGTATTGACCTTGCCCAGATAATAACGAGCATTCCAGCGAGGGTCGTTTGACCTGATCATACGAGTCTTGTGGTAGATGGAACCGTACCACATCTTAGCATATCTGTGAAAAAAACATGGAACAGCATATTAGTGTTTCTGTCACGTCTCCTGTATCTTTCTTCTGAATCTTAACTTGTTCTATACGCACGCCTCAGTCTTGCCCCATCTATCTCCTTTCAGACGCCAGGCTCGGACGATGGTCACCACCAGAGTTCCCTTCCAGGCCTGTTTAGGACAGCAGTTGGAGGCCAGGTTGGGGTAATTATAGCCACAGTATGGTTGTCTGGAAGTGGTCTGTATGGCGTTTTCTTTTAAGTACTGCTCTATGGCAGCCTTCAGTCCTATTTTCCGTGTCAAGTATGGCACCAGCTCATACATTGGTCTTAGGGAATAGTGAACAACATCGGGGTGATCCTTGAGGGATTTCAGCCAATTTCGGTAGCCCAGGGAGTCGTTGCGGGTGAGTGAAAACTCCCCCACCCAACCTTGGCCTCCTACCACCTCAGTGTAGTGTTGGTGGAGACCAGAGCTGTAAGAGGTGGAGACATCCTGGTTCTGTAGGACCTTGCTGCAGGTCTTGTGATTAGTGGACAGTCTGATCTTTCCCAGGCCGACATTTAGACCCAGTGATAAGCAAGAGTGTGCCTAGATGACAGGAGGGGATATTAGATGTTATTTTTGGTGTGTTTACTGCGTTCACTAGACATGTTTGCTACACATACCTCGGATGAGGAGAGGCCATTCAGTGAGGACAAACAGGTACGTGTAGCTGTGACTCGCCTGAATCGCCCCCCAAGATAAACCTGAAATTACATACAATAAAATGTTGAGACAAAATAAATATGTCCTTTGTTCCTGCCAAATAAGAAAATAAAAGTGATTTGTGCGTGCGTGCTTTAACCTGGCGGATATAATGAGTGCCGTAGGTCTGTATGAGGTGTCTGTACTGGGCCCTGGTTGAGGAGCTGTAGTAACTTGGCAGTCTCAACAAATCCTTGTGGAACTCAGAGCTGAGGGGCGGTCTGGTCGACACACGGTAACTAAACACAAAAGGACAGCATAGTTAATTACTATTTACTATATTACTATAGTTAATAACACACAATTAACACACCCTACCTGTAATGGGTACAGGTGGACCTGTGCGTGCTGAAGGTGTAGCGGTCCTGTTGGGTCCTGGCTGTAGAAAAGGTATATGCAGTGGAACGTGTTCCACCCACTTCCAGGTTGAGAAACTTCTTAAAATCTAGTCCAAACTGATAAAAAAAAGCACATGATGCATTATATTACATCCCAATAACTAACTGACCAGTGATAGTATGTAGCTGTGGTTTCATCTGATAAAGGTTTATCTGGGATTTTGCTGCCACTTTCGATCTTCACTGCCACACAGCACCACAAATTCAACTTGTAGTGCTCAAAGCTTTAAAAAATTACATTTTATTAACTCCTCAGCAACATGTCCTTCCAGAAACAATGTCCTGGTTACTCAGGATAATTCCCAAATGTGTGAGCACTTTTCACCAGGAATACTCTCCTACTGCAGATTTTAGAGGTATGGATGAAATCTGGAACAGACTTCCCAGACGACGAATCCTAACGACTTTGGTGACTTTGAAATGAGTGAAATTTGGGACAGACATTCATGTGTCCCTGATGATGAATCATACTGACTTTGGTGATCTCTTAACCTTTCATCTAGCACCATCATCAGGTCAAAATATTTACTTCTTTTTTCTTCAATACCTGCAAAATTATTGACATTCCCAAGAGTAGTTTGTGCTTAAGGCTAAAATGGTTATTGTGGTAAACAATACACCTGCTAAACATCAGCTTATTAATATTTGCATTGTGAGTATATTAGCATGCTAAAACAAGCATTTAGGTCAGTACACCACCGTGCCTAATCCAAGTGTCCCAGTGGCTCATAGTCTTGTTCAGATTTAGATTTTCAGTGAGCTCTTAATTTTACTGGGTTAGCAACCAAAGTTCTGTTGACTGATATCTCAAAACTTTGAAAACATAAAACTAATCTAGAAGTGAGAAAATATAACTTTTAGTAATACTGTGTGAATGTATCTTTTGTTTATGGAACTAATAATTCAACATAATTATACTTGTGTTTGCATTAAATCCAGTCAAATGTTTCCTACCTTCCAGTCGTAACTGTCCTGGTAGGCGTATGTGCGAACCAGTGAGCTGTGGACACATAAGTCAAATAAAATAATTACTATTAAATTTGTTAGATTTCCTAAAAACATTTAAATTTCTTTTTCAAAAAATACAGTTTCCATTATTAGAAATTTCACAGCAAAACATTTAATAAATAATGTCAGTTAAGGAAATGAAAGACACCCATATAAGTGAGTGAAATGAGATAATGCTCCTAATTATAGATGCTATGATATGGAATAACAGTCACCACTCTTTCCTAAAGCTAGGAATGACAAAGAAAACGTTTTGAACTCAGAGCCTAGAAAAGAAAACAATGAATGGGGGGCAGACTTTGTGGAGTCATAAGATATAAGATAGTGAGTTTATAGTTTCACAACAACATGAAGTTTGTTCGTCAAAATAAACTTAAGTACCAACAGTAAAAGTCCTCATTAAACAAAATAATATTATGTTATTATAATTACTCATGCAGCAACTTTAATGTTTTAATGTTAATGTTAAGGTTGCAAAGATCGACAGGTAGATCGAGAACTCTTTTTTTGTGACAACTGTTCGATAAAGGGATCGCAAAACTGCCCCTGCTGCCACAATTCTCCGGCCAATCTCCTGCTCCATTCTACCCTCACTTTTTGTTCTCTAAAATTATTCTCTAGAATTACTCAAGTAAAATATCTCAAGGTTGTATTTAATACAGTACTTGAGTAAATGTTTTGTCCACAACTGGAATTTCATACAGATTTTTAGATTTAGATTTAAAGGATTTTGACTGAGTACTAAAGATGGGTGAATGTTGTTTAGAGATGACTGATCTGCGTTGAGGCACTGGAATATGACGGATCGTTACTCTTTTCAAAAGTGTTTTACTTTACTTATTACTCCCTGCCAATAGTATTTAGTTACACTACTAGTAATATTACTTTTCTGCTACTCACAAAATTGGCAACTGACTCATGACTAATGAATCCAGTTTTGTTTGTTAAATAAATACACACTGCTGATTACAACCCTATAAGTGATTCTGACTCTATGTCACAGAATACCTGACAGAGGTGTGCATGCTGCTGTAGAGATTGGTTTGGCAGCGGCTGAATGCACGCCAGTCCACTGCAGAGACAGGCAGCTGAAAATAAAGGTGTGAACAGGATGGTTAACATGTTAGTAATATGTGGTTGGGTCAGTAATTTGCTTCAGTGTGTGTGTGTGTGTGTGTGAATTTGTCTTTGTGCTGATTTAAATTACTTTCTGCAGCCTGTTGCCTTGTAGAGGGTTCGAGCAGAGTGTACAGGTACCATTTGGGGTGAGAAAGGTCCTCACGTCAACCATGTAGGCTCCTTTACGCCGCAGGGTAACCACATCAAAGCCCTCCCCCACCAGGTTGTGGCCTGGTGCGAAGGGAGCGGACTCACACTGACTGCGCGTCCCAGTCCGACAGGAGAGAACAGGGGAGTGATACGACAGAAAGAGGAGGAGACTCAGGTAGAGAAGGGGTGGGGTTGAAAAGGAGAGCATGGCTGGAGCCAAAGAGACTGAAATAATTCAGAGAAAGACAAAGAGAATAGATAAGGAGAGTGTCAGTATCATTTTATCTGATAATCAGTGAAGGTAACAATAACTGCAAACAGGCTCTGTGTTCCCAAGGTTGTGGGATAAAAAATATTAGTAAAAATAAAGTATCTAAATGATCTATTCACTTTATGTTACAGATTAGTATTATTACTTTTGCATTTTAATGTTTACTTTACCATAGCTACTAATAATGAATAGAATATTTTAATTATCCCCCTTTGTTACAAACAGTGTTGGGCTAGTTACTCAACATAATTTTATATATTACTCATTACTCTTTCAAAAGGTAATATAATGACTTATTACTCCCTTTCAACAGTAATTAGTTACACTACTAGTTTTATTACTTTCTGCTACTTTTCACAAAATTGGTCATTGTGTCCCTTCTCCCCAAAATTCAGACTTAAGATGATGATGATTAAGATTTTGTTGGTCAAAATCAAAGTAATGGGAATATTTCCAGCTGCTGAATGCTTCCATCTTCCAAACTAGATTCCTCCACGATTACAAAAATGTATCCAAGGATGTGACTATATTGTTGGATTTCAAATCAATAGAGGGTGCAAACAAAAGTAATATACTACTTACTGAAATGTATCAGTTACACTACTAGTTACTGGGAAAGTAATATTATTAATGAGTTACTGCCCTGGTTACAAACAGGTACAAATTTATTAACAAAATACATTGCTTGTGTCGGACAATCTTTCATCTTGGGGAGGAGCATGTCAGAAGACGTCTTACACGTGATCTTGTTCCAACACACACATGCCTACAGGTCAGAAAAAGGACAAATATCGTGGGCTAGCGATTGTGGAGTCTACTGCAGATCAAATTTCATTTAAATTTCATACAATGTTCAACACATTCTGAAATTAAAATAGTAAAGGAAAACAGTGCTACCTCTGTGATGCAAGACACTAAAATTAAATTGTTTGACTCACCTAAGGTTGATCCAATGACAGATGTTGTGGCTATGACCTGAAAAACAGCTATGCTGGTTGATAGTGGAGCATTGCGTCTAGACTAAATGTGTAAAAGCTTGTAAACCTTCATAACAGGATGGTGGGTGTAACAGGGATTCCATTAACAGAGCCAATCTGATCACTTTCTCCTTTGTTGACGCCAGATGTTCATACTTTGGCATAATCAATTCCTTAGGAATCTCATGGCAAACAGAAAAGAAGGAGGGAAGGCAGCACCAGCCACCAGGGAAATGCTGGTAAAATATAAAAGCCTTCACTATTACTACTTAATATAATGTACTATTGAGCGGCTGGTAAATTTGAATATTTATGTGTCAGTGGATGGTAGATGTTAAATTTTAAAAAGTTTCCCACCTCGATTGAAAACCTGTTGAGTCTCTTGAGATGAAGAGGAGTTAAACACTTAATATTTGTCTCTTATTTCAAAGGATTATTGCCTGCAAACAAAGAGCCTCCATGTATGTCTGGGCAAAAGACACGTGAGACTGCAGAAAAATTATTTACATTGCATGTTATATGTGAATATTTGAATAAATAAATTATGATTTTTTGTAACTATTCTGTATTTTTCCATTTCTCCTGGATTCTGCAGTTGGAATTTCCTGAACAAGCTCTTGGCCCTGTACTGTGGAAACAGTTGTTGTAGCTCCATTGAGCTGTTCTGTGTCCAACAATTCTGTTTTGTGATTTCTGAGATTTTCTTCTGACTTTCAAATTCTGAAGAACCCTACTGTGCTTGAGCCAGTTTAGTATTATTTGTCTGCTGTAGCAGCTCAGATTGCATTGAGCTGGATGCTAGAAAAATGAAACCTGGCCCAATAAAGGAAAATGATGCATGAATGCTTCCCAAGAATCATGAGCCTATTTAGCCAGATATAAAAATAAATATATCCACGGTCATACAAATACATACATACTACATACATTGCATTACATACATACTGTACTTTCTGGGTGTATGCATGTACAGGTATATAAGTAAGATGTGCTTTGTCCTCTCTTTGCCTCGGACAGACACACACACACACAC